TGTACGAATTTACACATTATTTTTAAACTTGTTACTAATATTGTGAGTGTTCACAAACTTGCTTGCCATAATGTATATTTATTTTGAACTATGAATATATATTGAATATTGCCACATTATCAATTATTATAATTTTAAATTTCAAAATAATTAATATTAAGTAACATTTCGAAAAGTGAAATTATAAAATTCTTAGTTCAATATTCAAAACTATAACTCTTTATTCGTGTTTCAAGTGCAGTTGATGAAATGTTGCTTATATAGTTTTATTAAATTGTTTAAATATTTTATTTTATTATAAATTGTAAAATATATATTATAAACTTTACGTTTCTAAAATGTTATAAAATATATTAACATTGATAATTTGTTATATTTGGCATATTTTACCATACCAATTAGTATAGTTATATGTTATATCTTGTTTGCCATTGCTCTATAAATCGCTCAAATTGATGGTACATTTATTTTATATAGCTAATTTATCAATAATTGTTTTTGTCGTGTAATTGAAATTTCACTGATATTTGTAGAATTAAGATGTTGTGTTATGTCAATATTTTTTTTATTCTATGAGACAATCATTTTTACTATCTGAGATATTTATTTAACAAATTTACATTGAAATATTAGCTATATACATGAATATTATGAACATTATGACATTATCTTGCTTTGTTATGTGTGGACTTCAATTCGAATGAAATCAAATTTTTAAAAGAAATATGCAATGGTTTGGCCCAAGGATGGCCCAAGGATAATTTTTGTAAAAATCGTGTTATAAAGGTTTGTTCGACATAAATACTTCTTTCAAAAAAAAAAAAACATTTTAAATGTGTAATGTTTATCGTAAAAAATGCTGTATGGGTGGCCGCATAGTGGCAATAACAATGTTCAGTATAATATACATATATTTTAATATATATATATATATATATTATGTATATATATATATATGTGTGTTGTTTTTTTTAGACATTTTATGTTGTTTTAAAATATTATTTTAATTCAAAAACCTTGTTGATTTATCTACATGCACTTACTTATACATACATACATTTATATATATATATATACAATATATAAATAGATATATAATATATATATATATATATATATATATATATATGCTCTTTTTTGCATACTTTTTATCAAATGAAATACTGCTACGGGTTATTAACTTCTAATTTTAAATGTATTAATACAGTGATCTTTAAGTACTCCATTTTATTCAGTTCTAAGTTAATTTACTCACTCTACCACATTCATGAGTTATTATCATCTTCTCGTCAATTTATTAGCAAAACTGTTGTTATTCTTCATGAATTTTTATTGAGAATTATTTGCTTTTAAATGTCACAGTGCGCTGCCTATGTTAATGCAATTATATTTTAATTATATAGCTCTATAATATGATATGAATATGAATAACTATTAATGTAAAATATTTTAATAAAACTAACTAATCTTTTATACATAAGGGTCCGTTTATTTAATAAAAATCTTATAATAAGACTGAAAAAATGACACAAAGTTATGAAAACCTAACTAGTTAACAGCAAGTAAAGTGTAAATTAGAAAAACTTATAAAATAATATGCAATATGCAAATTAAAATAGTGATGTCAGTGTCAAAACATACATATTAATTTTATGCAATGGAATCGACCAGAAATCTGAATAATTTAGTTTCAAAAAACAGGTTAGATCAGGGGTGTCATTGTGATACGGATAAAATAAGTGAAACATACAAATTTGTAGAAAATGGCAATAAGTACTTATATATTAAAGGTTGGATTAAGCTCGTTGAAAAACATTATTACGAATATTGTACATTACGGTGAAATATTGAAGATAAATAAGTTTAAGAGCAATAATATTTTTAACAGTGCAACTTTTGTGGAGAAAAGGAGATTTTGTTCTTTCAGTTTACATTAGATATACATTGAACCATACAGACATATATGTATATATATAATTGCAGAAACAAAAGGACCATATTATAAAGAAAGCAGTATCAAATAAATTGATACAATAATTGGAAAACTGAAGTATGAAACAGGTTTATTCAATGCAATGACATCATTGTGTGATAAAAATTATGATCTAAAATCAAATACAATACAAAATGTTTATTTTAGATAATAACATTTATCTATGATAATATATGTACAATATCGATAATGTTATATATATTATTTGAATAAATTAATGAAGAATTTTATTTTGATAAATGGTCCGATATATATATATATATATATATATATACATATATATATATATATATATGTTTCTGTTCTGAATAGGTAACCCAAATTGAAACAAAATGTTTTTTGATTATAAGTATTTATTTTCGACATTTCAAAACAAGACATATTCCATCTTTAGGTTTCTTGTTGAAAATAAAATATTTTTGTAATATAATGAACAAAACAATAAGGAAATGAAATTACGAGAAAATTGAAAGATTGGATTGGTGCCGCTAACAACATGATATTAAATATTTTTTGTAATTATAAAATTGATAAACCTAACTTATTTACTTGCTAGTTTCATGAAAAAACATATATTATTGTTCATTAAAATATAACTTCAAACCACGAAAATAAAAGCTGTTTTCCACAAACATCTTATTTTAATTTGGATTTCCTTCTCGTAACACAAAGACAAAGTAATAAATCAGGACTTATTTCTCTTATATATATACACACACACATATATATATATATATATATATATATATAATTTATTGGTTATATTAATTTGTAATATAAATTACAATATTCTTTTATTACTTGTACTGAGGCACATTGCTGAATGTAATGTAATCATAAAAATGAAAGTAAACGACTTTATATAATAAAAGTAATTATTACTTATAGTTATGAAATCTTGTTAATATTTTAAAATTAATTCTGCTATATAAATATGATTAACAACATTGTTGTAATAAAATTGATTGGGATAATAAATATGCGGTTTGCATAATCTGTATATGGAAACTAGCATATTTATGACATCATTACAAATATAATACATTATTTTAATTTAAAAAATATAATTAATGTTTTATTTATTGTTTTCTCAATTTTATTAATTCAAACATTTTAAGAGGTTTTAAAACTTTACATTTAGATGTATGTTTGCATTCCAATTCTGGTTAAAAGGCTTTTTAATTATTTTTACTAATACATATTTTTAAATGGTGAAAGGTATTGTGGCGGGATTATATGTATGTATAGGTGGGTGGGATTAGGTGCAAGTTATTGTAGTTCTATCAATTGAAATGCAGTTAAACTGTATGGATGAAAAGACTATTTTAAAATAGTCTTTTCATCCATACAGTTTAACTGAAAATTAAAATTATACAAATTACAAATATATATATATATATATATATATATATATATATATGTATGTGTGTGTGTATTCTAGTGTATATACATTATATTACCACATATAAATTTATATGTGGTAATATAATGTATATACACTAGAATACACACACATATATATATATATATATATATATATATAATTTTAGCTAACCCAGAGAACCTAGCTATACAACTGATCAGATATCGAGCTTGATGAAAAATGAATAGACTACAAATATGATTATTATAAAATAGGGATTTGTGGTAGGAAGGTGAAAATTTAGATTCACATGTATTTTTCATTTTCGCATAATTATAAATTAAAATAAAATTTATTAATATACAATATAAAAAAGGCAACAAAGACAAAAAACAACCCAATAATGCTTTTTGAAGTAAAATTTGAGCTTTTCGAAAAGTTCAAGAAAATCTGAATTAAAATCCAATGAAAACATTCACTGTCTGATGTATATGTATGAAAGAGGGAGATTCAAATATGTGATTATTAAAATGACAATTATGAAAAAGTGGTGTAAGATAGGAAGATGAAAATTTAGGGTTTGAGTGTTTTTAAATTACATGTTATAAAAAATGTAAATAAAAAAATTGGACCCAACAAAGAAGTACAAGATAAAAAAATTCTTAATTAATAATGTTTTTTTAAGCTAAGTTTAAGCTTTTGTATAAGTTTCAGAAAATCTTAATCAAAATTCAATAAAAAACATTCATTGACTATAAACAAAATGAAAAATTATGCGATTACTAAAATCACTATTACGGTATAGGGATTTATGATGGAAGGGTACAGATATAGTGCTGTAAGTGTTAATACTGACTTATAAAAAAATATATGAATGTCAATTCTCAGTCATACTGAACGTGCTAATAAAATTTCATAAAAATCGGTCAAACCCTTTGAGAGGAGTATTGCGATGAACAACATGACACGATTTTTATTTATGTTTGGCCTAAGTTTGAATTAATTATATAAAATTGATTGATGCCTATCAGCAGCATGAGGCATGTATCTATAAACTTCCTGTAGGGTAATCGCGAAAAAATCGAATCGAATATTTTCAAAAATTTATAAAAAATCTATTTTTTTTTCAAAAATTCCAAAAAACTCAAACTTTTCAAATTTTTGAAAAAAAATCAAAGTTACCAAAAAATCAAATTTTCAAAAAAATGAACAAATTTTTTGTGAACATTTACACATAAGTTTTTGTCGAATACGTTTGTCGCCCAATTTAATAATCACTTATAAATTTTCAGTATTTATAATAAATAATCGATTTGAAAATATATAAAACAATTGTAATTAATTATTTATTGTAAAATTTTATTGATTATTGATTATTTTCATTCCTCGAATGTTCAATTACAGTACGGAAAAATTCAGCAATTTGCCTTAAAGCACGACGCCATGCACCACTAGTTTTGTTGTTTTCGTTCAAATATTTCTCGTAGTTTTGCAAAATCCGTGCAGCCTTCTATAATTGGGGAAATCCGCTTGTCATTTAAAAGCATTAGAGCGACGGAAGTGAACTTTTTATGTTTATCAACATTGATCCGTTTCAATTGAACATCACATAGTTGCTTGACGTCCTTTGTTCAAGTAAAAACAGCTCATCCAATAATATGTGACATATTGTCAACAAATATATAAAACGCACTACATCGCATTATCCGTAATCAGTTATGAAGTAACCGTGAACGTTCAATTTAGATCATAAATCGCAAATTTCAGTGAATACTACAAGCATGTGGAAGTATGCTGTCTTGATTTGTTTTCTTGCCATGGTATAAAATGTATATCTTCTTTAATATAAATATATATATATATATATATATATATATTTGTGTGTGTGTGTGTGTATTTATATATATTGTTTCTGTTCACACATTTAGTTTATAATTTTTTTTCAAATTGTAGATACACTGATGATGACACGGGTGAAAAAAAGATTAAACATAAAAAATAACTCTCCTAAATATATATAGTCAACTCGCATTCAACGCGGTGAATGTGTACCGTGTAGTATGTAAACCGTGCTATAAGAAACGGATTTAACGTACAAACCAGACTAATTCGTAGCGCGTTCTATGAATACCGGCTACCACGTTGTGTGAGAACCGCGCTGTAAGCTCAGAATTTGTACAACTCAATTGTAATATATTTTATTGAGTCAAAGAGTTAAAAAAATGAAACAAAGGCTAAACTAAAGTGTTCTCCATAAAAAAATGCTTAAGCAGATTTTTTTAGAATGACCAAAGTTATGTGAAAGAGCTCTGACACAACTGAAACCGATGTCGTACTTACACAGCTATGGTATAAATTGGAATGTTTATAAGAACATATTGTAAAAAATGGAATAGTCGATAATAAATCCTATATTGAAGATCTTTACAATATCTAGGTACTTGACTTTAGTCTAGTAGAGCCATTCATAGCTTGTACGGAAGGGACCATAGGCTATTGAATAAAAACCGCGCTGTAAGAGTATCGCGTTATAGGAGGGCTGTCGAAATTTTAACTCCACGTAGTAATAAAATAGCGTTGCCAGAGTATCGCGTTGTAGGAGTGTTGACTGTATATATAAAAAATGTTCAATGCATTCACATCAAATAAAGACCAAAAGATTTTGAAAATCTTTATTCGACACATAAATTTATGTCATTCTCAGTGTATACAATTTAATGTACAACAGACACTAGTTGGCATTGTCAGGTTTTTGTAACAAGTTGCATTGGATAATCTTTCAAATGCAAAATACTTAACAATATTTAGTTCATCATTTAGTAATTCTAGATGACATGTTTTGTACATTTTTTATTGTGCTATTATGTCCGTTACACATAATTGTGCTTATTAGTGCTGTGTGTTTTTTTTTCATATACAATTTTTAACACTAACGGTGGACGGTATATTATTATATGTTATATAATAGATTTTTACATCTCAATATCAAAATTGATACATAAAAACCTTTTTAAAATTTTCGAATATTTTTCCATGCTATTTCCATACGAAGCTTTGGTTGAATTGCGCACTATCTAAACGTTAACATTAAGAGCTAAAATTTTTAGAGATTTTAAAATTTCCATATTAAGGACCACCTTATATATATATATATATATATATATATATATATATATATATCAAACCAATTTATTCGGCATAATTTAGGAATATCATGTTATATTAATAAAATAAATATTAAAATGTTTTATTACTTACCATTAATCATTGTTTCAGGTGTGCTCTGGAGAAGATCTTCCGGAAATTTGCAAAACATTTCCCAGAGGAGTGAGTTATTATATCGATTTAGTACTACTTTATGTTATCTGTTGGTGGCCGTTATCAATATTTGATATTTATTATTCTGTTTATCAATTTGTTATATAGTTTAGTTTTATTCATGGTTGAAGTACAAAAATCTACATATCAATATATAGGCCTTCTATTCATGCTGCGAAATTCCTCGGCTAATAGCAGAAGTGGATTGGAAACGTTGCGTAGAAGCCAACAAGGAAAACTCCGATGAAACTACAACCGCCGCAGCAACCACAACTGATGCTGCGACGGAGTTAAAAACCCATAGTCGTGAAAGGATTAAGAAGTTTAGACATTTCATGGGCAAGGTACAATTTTTTGTTAAAATTACAATGTAATTTCTTTAATTTATAACACAAAAAATCTTAGGCGCTACACTAAAAATAATTTTCTTGGCATTATTTATGTAAGAAAAAAAGCAGTATGGAAAGTGTTTGGCTTTCTTAGTTTATAGGATCGATAATATAGATGGTCAGAAGTAATATCAATAGACTATTTTAGGTCCAAAAGTCCAATCTGACTTTGAGCAATTAAATTGTAAAAACCAAACCAATTATATCATAACATATAACACATATCAAATGAACAACTATATGACTATATTCTAACTAAAACTCTCAGCTAGTTCATCATTGACATGTGTTTTTCTGCTGTTTCCCAAAAAATTCTCACTTGATACTTTTTATCCCATAGGGGTGAAATGAAACATTATTCAACCCATTATTCATCCAATAACTCAACATTATTCAACTAATGCAAAATATAAATTCAATTGGTACATTTTTTACAGAAATAATACTGTATGTAACCTTGATCTGGTAATTGCCAGAAATATTTATCAGCAGAGTTAGAATAATTATTTATTTTATATATCTGTTTTAAAATTGTTTTTGTTAACTTGATTACTGTTTTATTGTTTACATCTTTGTCAGAGTAAAGGTTTAGATAGTCTTTTTTACCACAAATGTAACCTTTTATAGAGGCTATATAAAAAAACTGTTGTATCTAACTAAAAAATAGTAATACATATTATAAAACAATTACATAACATATACCCAAAAGTTATATTGAGGTCTTGTAAACTAAACAACAGTGCTCACAACCAAATAATTAACAGAAAGAAAATATTTTTGTTATGAATTTTTAAACATTGCCGTCTATCTCCAGATAGCGACGTCGTAAGAATCAAGGTGATGGCTGATTATACATCTTTTTCTCTCTACTTTCAAACATTGTTGTTAAAAAATTCCTACATTTTTATACCAGTAATGTACCTTTTTATCCACAATCTTCTAAGCCCCTTTCTACCCTATTAACATTTTGATGTATTCTTTTTAGTGTTATGGAGACTGTGTTTTTGAAGACGCCGGTCTGATTGTTGACGGAGAGCTGGATTTCGATGCCGTCAAAGAATTGGGTTTATCAAGGGTTGAAGGAAATGCCACGTGGATACCGGTTATGGAAGAATCGATTGCTAATTGTACTGATGCTATGGGTAAGTGATACTTAGATTTAACTTTTTATTTCTCTTTCATATTCTAACTGAGGATATACCTAGTAGACACGCCGCTGGGTATTGCTACTATCTTCTTGTTTATATTATATGATAATTATTGTTAGCAATCTCTGCTTAATGTTAATGAATATGTAAAACAGATTGCAGAATAAATTAAATAAAAAAATAAAAAAAAAATATTCTAACTGAGGAGTAATATTGATGGGGTCCAAGTTAGGGTATAGTTTATCTTGTGCAAAATGATTTTTTCATATAATAAAATTAATAGCATGAATATTCTGTATATTGCTCATAATATTTATTTATTGTATTGATCTACTTTAAATATTATCAGATATATATATATATATATATATATATATATATATATATATGTTTCATAATATTTTTTCAAGATTCTATTTCGGAAGAAAGAGCCAAAGTATGTAAGACAAAGGCTGATATTTTCATAATGTGCTTGCATGGATCACTTTTCAGGGTAAGTAAAATTGAAAATAATAAGTAGAATTATCTATAAATTTGATTAATATTTTATGTTTAATTTACAGAATTGCCCAATGGAATTTTGGAGAAATGGTAAGTTATTTCATATTATGTAATGCTGCTTCAACTTATTTCACTTATATAATTATTTTTTATTTTACTTCAATGGGTATTTAATATGCATATACATGTTCTATTATCATACTATAATTATTTTTAATGGTGAAGGGCAAATGTAAATTTTAAATAAAATAAAGTTACATTTTTCAATTTCTTATCTGATGTTTTTGCATCATTTTTTAGATGAAAAATGCGATTCTGCAAAAGAATTCTTTACGACTTGCCCAGAAATTTTGAGACACAGAAAGGAACAACCAGCTGATGCAAATGAAAACAACTAACAAAAATGCATATTATAGTGTTGACTATATCTGTAACTGAAAACTATATAAGATTACCATAATAATTTCAAATGCTATACAACTAATAAGTTATTTTGTGTGTACAATATGAAAGCATAATTAAATTTTTAGAATTTATAGCGAATTTTACCTTTGTGTTATTATATTTGTATATAATATTACATTATTCTCAATATATACAATACAATATTGTTAAGTAATAAACCTTATGTTATAAATAATAATAGTGGTTGCACACCCCTGGCATTGCTGCAGGTTGTGCATCCCTGCGATGCACCGTTGCCTGAAGAGTATAAAATTTCTGCAATGCCATCACTCGGTTCCCTACTCGGTTCTTTCAATTAAGTAGTTGATTCACGGAGATCATGGAGGTAACATATTTAAGGCCAGTTCAGTGGGTAACCGTTAGTATAAATTGTATTCGATAAATATTTTTTTTACAATAATTCAATTTTTTTATTATGCATAAAAATTTACTACTGCCCGTATGGACATTCAGTAAATAAAATAGCTTGTGCTAATTGATATAATGGCTATGATTAACTGTGGTTGATTGTAGAAGTAGCCTGTGTTACTTCCACATTACTATAGGAACTAGATTGTGTTAGGTGCAACAATAATTGAATAGCAATCATAAAATAATAAAATTCTATAAGCTATTGTGCTTGAACTTCAGCAATAGTACTGGAATTCTACATATATCGCGTGATAGACATCACACCAGTGGGCTACTTCATTTTAATGCATTAGATCGAAGAGATGCTTCTTCTTTAATCTTCTAATATCTGATGGTTCTAATATGTGAATAAATGTGGGGTTATTGTGGTTGATGATCTTGTTGTGATGAATTCCGCTTTTGTTTTTCACTACCTCCTGGACAGTAACGATTTTCAGATCGTTATGTAGTATTTAGTTACTGACATACCAAGGTGCATTTGCAATAGACCTTAAAATTTTTGATTGTCTATTTGGATAGATAAAATTCTTAATTTACTGGCGCAGCCCCACAACTCTAAGCCATAAGTCCAAATCGGTTTTATTGTCGCTTTATAAAGTAGAATTTTGTTTTATAATGATAATTTAGATTTACCATTAATAAGCCAGAACAGGGTGAGATTTGTCTTCATTAATTTTTGTGCGCCAATAGTTAGACCAGTTTTCAATTTTATTTAAATGATATTGCAGTTTGATGCTTGCTAGTAATGGATTTTTGTTAGTAGAAATACCATAATTACTATATCATCTGCAAAGGTTCCAATGGTTGTATCCAGTGGTGTTGTGCTAATATTTTTTTTGCCGGAACGCTAAAATTTAAAATCCGGTTCAAAAAATTTGATATATTTCGATAAGAACTCACAAATCTAATATATTGACTTTTTATATAATTAACTCTATTATACACAGCTAGTCTATACATTAAATTTTACAAGTATGAGGGAATCATTGAGTACATAATTTATATTCTTCAATGACATTAATCATATTTATTCTGGTATTATTTGTATTCATTAATACCTACAGGTATTTATTATGGTATAAAAGTACTCAAGATTTATTACAATACTTTATAAGACTTAACCTAATAATATGATAGATAACCTATTACCTATCATACTATATTATATTATTGTATATCATCGATAAATATTATCGATCGACCTATTATCTATCATACCGTGAGATATCTATACAGTCATTAACTTATTATATACCCTACATACCTTTTACTTCTTATAAATACTACTGTCTAATTTATATATTCTATTAATAATATGATAGATAACCTATTACCTATCATACTATACTATATTATTGTATATCATATAGAGATATCTATTATCTATCATACCGTGAGATATCTATACCGTCATTAACTTATTATATACCTACAGACCTTTTACTTCTTATAAATACTACTGTCTAATTTATATATTCACCTATATTATATAGGTTTACCTTACGCTCTATGTATTATCTCTACCTACCTATTGTCTATACCGGGAATTGAACCCGGGACCTCCGCGTGGAAGTCGCGCACCTTAACCACTACCCTATCGGATACCCCCACTAATAATATAATATGGGACGCACTGTTGTTTCCGCGGGTCATTTTCTAATTAATTAGGTAATTAATACTAAGGTGGCGCGACGACACGCGAAAAAAGACGGTTGATTGTAGCGTTACGGTGGTGTAGTGGATAAGGTCGTCGCGTGCCACGCGGCGGACCCGGGTTCGAATCTCGGTAGGGTTAATGTAGCGTGTAAGGGAAATTATAGGTAATAGGATATATAGTAGATATAGGTTAGGTGTATTCGGTATACAATGTAGGGATTTGAGAGTATATAATGAAATATAGCGTATGGTACAGATGTAAGGCGTGTAGTATAGAATGCAACGTATAGGCACACGTAAGGCTATAAAAATACATGAATAGGAACCTATGATGTAGATGTTAGCGTATAAGAAATGCGAATGAATGAAGAATGAAGATTTAATTTATAAATATTATTTTTCTATAAGAAGTTCATACACCTCAATTTGTTACTAAATTAAAAACGACTTTGATAAAACCAGTGGTTTTGTGCTAATATTTTTTTGCCGGAACGCTAAAATTTAAAAACCGGTTCTAAAACCGGTTTTCATGTTTTTCCAGTTCCGTTCAAAAAGGAAAGAAACAAAAATTATTACAAAACTCATTTTGTGCACATATATGTATGTTTATTACAATAATAACATTTAATAAAAATTAGTTGAATAATAACTTATAAAATTTACTTACTAAATCATTTTATGTATGTAGCGATGTTTTTATATTTTTTCTTGCCGGAACGCGTTCCGGCTCAAAAATGATTTGCCGGAACGACGTTCCGGCGCGTTCCGGCTCGACAACACCACTGGTTGTATCTTCCAAAACCAGAATGTCAGAAAAATCAGTACCAATTTTTGTGCGAAATGGTCTGTTCTGTAGATACGACTGGGAAAAATGATGGTATTTCAATAATATTTGAAATACAATAAATACTAGTTGAAAGTGTTGTTATCAATACCTATTAATACGTGACTCACGGCACCGAAGGGGGATCATCAAGACACTGTTGACTGCGCTAACCAATTACATTTCAATTTACATAAATAATTATATATTGTTATTCTCCATTTTATATTACATAACATATTCAACATAAAAAATAAACAAAAAAAGACAAGTAAATAAGGCAAAATTTTGACCAATACCTTTGACAATTATATTTTGCATGATATTGATTGACAATTAATAAAAATTGTTTTGTAGTTTAGATTTAAATTTTATCCATTTTCAATTTTTGCCGACAACTAAACGTAAGTTTTTTGATTAGAAATTATTTCTATATTATTCGTAGTTTCTATAAATCTTTGAAGTAATTAAAATGGAAAATATTTTTTAGGCAAGACAGATATTACAGCTGTTCATGGCATGAGATTATATCGCCAGCGAAAAAGTAAAAAAATACAAGCAGTCAATGAATGTATGTTCATTTTAATTACATGAAGTTCTTCAAACACAATTACATGATGAGTGAAGTTGCGACAACAATATTTGTTAAGGCGTTGTTTAACATAATCCACTGTGTGAACGAATATTATAGAATTTATTAATTAGCAATTACTTCATTTCTCTAACCGATCATGTCATATTTGAAGTATGACCTTAATTACATTATTGTTTTTAAATATTATACATATTTTTTAATGCTATTATAAATATATAATTTATAATTTATTTTTATATAAATGTGTATAATGACTGACACTAATAAATGTGTGCATCACGAGTGTTACCATATTACTAATAAACATTATTTAAAATTGTTATATGATGTATTTATTTGTACTTAACTTAAATTTGCTACTTTGTACAGTAGCAAATGAGTTTCACTTCAATCGCGTGTAAACCTTACGCGCATTCTTTTTTTTCGATTTTGATAACACTTTGTACGGGATAGAGTTTGTGTTCTTAATGAACATACTACAATATTAGAGGCATACGACAAGTGGTTTAATTATAAAAATTATTTAAGTTTGAATTAATCGGCCATAAGATATATTAATTTAGAAAATACTTTTTGTAGATATGAGACACGTGTTTGTTTTTTGTTCAATAATGTGTATTTTTTGGGTCATTTGAGAAAAAAAAACTATTAATACGATTAATCTGCAATAGTTTTTCACATTGCAAAATACTCATAAATTAATATATCTCGTATAGTTTAGTCCATTGTACATACACATTGGAAGCTCATGCAACTTGTCAAAACTTAAGCCAAAATATACTATTTTGTTACTTATAAATTATTGGAAACATGGCCTTCAATAGACGGCTTTTATTTAGATTTTGCCTTTACTACGGTCGCTTTTTAATTCAGAGGACTTTCAATACGGCCGCATATAAATTCATCAAATTTTTAATTTGGCCGCGTGTCATACAATTTGTTCTAAGACAAAATGCAAATTATATCTAATTGAAATTACCACACACAATATATTACTTGTTACATTTAAACATTATTTTAAAATAATATTCTATCTAATAAATCTCATATTATATTATATAGTTAATAAGCAATACCTGTTCTAAAATAATTTTGTACACGAATAGTACACAATAGTTTTTAAATTAACATAACATTTTTTGAAAACAGGTTATTAATCATCTGCTTTGACACTGTTGTGTCATAGAGTATGAATTTCATAATTCATAGGAAAATAACTTGGTCAAAAAAAGCAATTACTAAATATAATAATATAAAAGCAATTTTGGTATAAAACGAATCATCACAAATAATATTATTTCATTTTAAATATAGCAGGAACACTTATATAATAATATATTATGGACAGTGAAATTAGTTACTATTTTTGGAAATGCTCATTAATTTTTTTAACATTTGCTGTAAGTAATTTTTATTAATTCATATAATTATATATTTAATTAACAAAATCATTTTTGATAATATACTAATTAAAGTGGTTTGTTTAAATTTCAGTTTGAAATATCCGCTTCTGATGAAGATTTTTGCAGAAATATGCCTATGAGCACGGTAACTATTCAAAATTACTTCAATATGAGTTATTTTATATAAAAATATATAGAATTACAGACACGATTTTAAAAGAAATATATTTTAATTCTATAAATGAAATAATGAATATATTTAGAAACACTACAACTATTGTTTAGAATATAAACTGGTCTTAAAGGCTATAATTATTTCTATATGTACTTTCGAATAACAATTTATCCGGATATATATAAATTATATATATATATATATATATATATATATATATATATATATTATCTCCTATAAAGATTAGAAGATAGCTTATTGATGAAATACCAATGCATTTGATTGAACTTTTATACATGTATTCAAAAAACACATTTAATTGGTTTTAAATTTATTGTATTTAGTGAAACTTTAGTATTTTATTTTTGATTTTGATTTTTCATATTTTCTAGAACACATCTGCATGCTGCTCGATCCCGCAACTTTTTGACGAGAGCTTGTGGAGGTCCTGTGGAATTGAGATCGATTATAATACATCGTCTGAAGCAGAAGCCATATTTACGTCTATGCTAGGCAAAGTATAAAAATTATTACGTTTTATATTAATTTTATTTGTTAACTTCTAATAATCATCTATTTTAGTGCATCGGAGATTGTACATTTGCCACAGCTGGGTTTTTAAATGATAAAGATATTGACTTTGATGAGCTTCATAGTTCTATCATCAACAAAACTGAAACAAATTCCGCTTGGTCTGAGAATATGCCATTTTTGGTAATAAATGCTACACTAATGGTCGGTAAGTTACATTTGTCTCTAATATTAAAAGATTTGGCTTTTTTTAAATATAATAATGTAATGTAAATACCAACAAGATATTTCATTTCAAAATTTACTAGGGTTTTTGTGACGTTATTTATTATTTTGTAATTTTATCGACATTTTTTATTCAATTTTAAAGGATCTAATATATTTTAGACTACTGAAAAAATAAGAATATTTTTTGCTATGTTACTCTTCAAAACTCGAATTACAGTATATTACCTATAATAATTGCCGAATAATGCTAAAATATGTAAAATTATCCTTTATCATATGAGCAAAGTTAATGAATAATCAAGTTCATAAGCAATATTTTATTTTTGTGAATAGTTATCTATACAAAATTATTATTATACTATAAATGTTTTAATATTTCAGATAAAATGCACCAAGCTGATGATCATTGGCAATGTGAAACAAAGGCAGATATGTTTTTAGAGTATTTCTACGCGTTGTTAATGATAGTAAGATTTTAGTGCTAAATTTTCTTTGTTATTAACTTCCCGTAGAGTAATTTATAGTAATCGCAAAAAAAATCGAAAATGAAAATTTTTATATATCTTTACCTTTCAGAGGTTTCTGAACATTTTGACATATCTTATTGTTAGAAAAAATGGATGTATGTGTGTGTGTACGGATATGAATTTTCGTCGACGATTTCGAGAAACCGATTTGTATAATTCAAAAAACATTAGATTTCTACTAATAAAAAGACATGCTGATTAGTTTTTGGCAAAAGCAGGTCTAGCCGTTTTGGAGATACGGGGCAAAAAGTGCTAAAAATGGTAATTTACTTTTTGAGATAACTGAGCGTCCGATTTGACTAATTCAAAACACATTCTACTTGTATTGACGAAATGAACAACTGTTAAAAATTTTTTAAAGGCAGGTCTAGCGTCACTGGAGATTCAATAAAAAAGTAAAAAATAATGCCATTTGACGGTCAAAAATGAACATTATACATATGTACATCGTATTATCAGTTATTTTATAAAGATTATGATAATAAGTAGAAATTTTGTGTACATTTATATGGGTTCCGTACCAATGTTTACAAGTTAGACGACTACGCGACGCTTACGCGCTCTGATATTTCGACTTCAAATTAGCTATACAGCGCCATTGCTTAAAAAAATGTTCAAAATTCTCAAAAAAAAAATCACGATACAGTAAAAATCAAAGTATAAAAATAATTAAATTTTTCAAAAAAGCCAATTTTTTTCAAAAATATTTAAATTTTTCAATTTTTTTTTAATAATTTAGTTTTTGGTACGGGAAGTTTCAGCAATTTGCCTTAAGGCACGATGCCATGCACCACTAGTTTAGATTTTTATTATGTCGTAGTGTATTTAACCTTTTTGATACCAGAGCGACACTGCTGTACTATTGAGTAAGCAGCCTAAGTATTTGCAATATAACATATTATGATTTTCCAACAATTATCAATAAAAATGTATTTAAAAATTACACTTTTGAAACACTAAATACCTTAATAACAAATTAGAATTTTCAATAATTTAACTCAGAGTGATAAATAGTGAAGCAAATTTCTCGAGGTGTACGAAGAACACTCGTACACACAGGTCGTCAAGTGACGTTCGTAGCGAAATGGTTAATATAAGGAAAATATAATATCGAATACATTATGATTAAGTACTAGGATGTAAAAGGCAATTCCCAATGTGTAGCACCAATATTTTTAAATGTGTTGGCAAATATGAAAATTTTTTTATAATGGAATTTTCTGATAAATATTTATAACTAATATTATTTATATAATTTTTACTTAATTTACTTATTTATATAATCAAACTTAAAACTTTATTGTTTGCTTTTCAGTTTTTTTTAAATAGTTAAATTAAATATCAAATTAAACCTATTTTTATTACTCTTTTCAGAACTGTCCACGGCGTTTTTGGAATGATAGTAAGTTTTATAGTAAAAATTTATAAATATTGATACTATATATTCTAATAAATTTCAAATATTTGTTTCCAGCTGCTACATGTTCTGAAATGAAAAAGCGATTTGAAATATGCCCGCAGAAACTTCAGCCTTCTGTACACTAATAGTTAATATCACTAATTGGAAGAAAAATTCTTGAAAAATGGCCTAATATGAACTGATATATGAAATAAAGTAATTTATATTTATCTTTATGCTTATATTTTTATGTTTTATTATAATTCTTCAATATAATTAAAAGTTTTCAATTTAATCATGAAAATGCAGCAAAAAACATTAATTCCGAAAATGATAAATACATAAAACGTTAACTTTATTTATGACAAAATGTTTTGATTAATTATATTAATTATTTTAATAAACCAAACTTTATTTAAATTATGACCACGCCAAAAAATCATTCCTTGCATGTGAGCATCATGTGTGCCAGAAAATCTGATTTGCTAATTTTGTTTTCTCGACGTTTTGACTCTGGGTCAAATTGCAGGAACTTCTCGTACCGTAACAAAATGTTCGAGAAATATTAACCCTCCGTCGGTCGGCGTGGTCTGGCCAGACTTTTTTCGACCTCAATTTAAAAAAAAATACTTCTAGTAATCCTATCGACTTGAAATTTCTTGACTTTTCCTAAAATTTCATTAGCTGTCGATCAATGAAAAAATCAGGACAAAAAAAATGTATTGAAGGATAATTATAAGGATATTAACTTTTTTATACTTCGAACGGTCGGAAAGGTCTGTCTAGACCACCCATACATTTTGTATGAAATATACGCTTTTTGATATATGTAAACCAATATTTTGTCTTTTTTCATGGTATTTTCTATTCAAACTGCGTTGTATAAATTCTTTGCTATGTGTTGTACTTGTAACATGAACGTTAGTATTTTCATGACGAGAGTTCCTTGAAAACCTACCAAACTTATTGGTAATCGCAAACACTGAAAATCGGATGAGTAATGCACACATTATCAACAATTTTTCTACCCGTACTGCGTTCGAATTTTTTTTTTGGCAAACCTCTAGTGAAATCATATTTTCACCTTGAGTTTTACAGCTCATTTCAAAGGCGACGCACTTCATTTCATTTTCATTTAAATTTCACATTCATTTCAAAGGCGCCGAAAAAGAATATATATTGTTTTTCATTGATATAAAACAGAAAAATTAACAAAAAAAGCAACGATTTTTTTATATTTCTTGATTTTTTTATATAATCGTTAATATATAAGACACCAAAATCTCATTTATCTCATATAAATGCATGTAAAATGAATGGTGGTCCAGCCAGACCTTTCCGACCGTTCGAAGGTGAAAAAATATCCGACCGACGGAGGGTTAAATGTATTCAAATAGATAATTATAAATAAATGCTGTAACATTGTCTAATATTTATAAGAATTATATAAACTGAATTGCAAAGTTGAAAATATTTGTTTCAAGTATATTAGAACTTGAGTCAGATTTACATTTAAAATCTGAATTATTTTCGATATACAAAAAATTTTTTTTAAAAAAAAAAATTGAAACGATTTTTTTCCCCAAAAACAATTATTTTGTTAAAACAAGCAGAAAGTTCTTTGAATCATTCAAATCGGACGCTTAGTTCGCTCAAAAACTGTCACATTTAGCACTGTATCTCCGAAACCGCAGGACCTGCTTTTTAACTAATGACCACTTCTCCCCATCATTACAAATTGAATATTTTTCGGATCATTCAAATCCGATACTCCGATCTCTCTCCAAAAATTTGATCAATTCTTCATCTTGTCAATACAAGTGAAATGTTTTTTGAACTATTCAAATCGGACGCTCCGTTCTCATAAAAACTGAGTTACCGTTTTCGGCACTTTTTGCCCCGTATCTTCGGAACGGCTAGACCCGCCTTTGCCAAAAACTAATCAGCACGTCTTCTTATCAATATGAATTGAATGTTTTTTGAATTATTCAAATTGCTTGATCCGTGTTCCCGAAATCGTCGACGAAAATTTGTATTCGCACACACATACATACACGCGCGCACACACACACACATACATCAATTTTTTCTAAGGTATGCCAAAATATTCAGAAACCTCTGAAACGTAAAGATATATAAAAATTTTCATTTTCGATTTTTTTGCGATTACTATAACTAGCCCTACGGGAAGTTAAAAAGTTCAGAATTTCCAAAATATGTCAAAATGAAGAAAACATTTTTCTTTTCAAAAAAATTTTGTTTCCAAAAAAAAATTTTATTTTTTAAAAAAAAGTAATTTTTTGTCGAATTTATAGTTTCTCAAAAATCTAATTTTTTCGAAGTGAAATTTTTTCAAAAATGTTATACGCTTTTAAAAAAATAATAATTTTTAGTATGGGAAGTTCCAGCAATTTGCCTCAAGGCACGATGCCTTAATTGCCTTAAGACAGAATTCCACTTAAAGCTAGTTTCAAATTAATTCACAATAAAAGATAGTCAAACATTTCAGCATCACTAAAGCATATAAAACAATAACCCAGAATTGGGTTGTGTGATAGCGTATTTATTTTTTCATTATATTAGTTTGTCGGCCATCCAAATGAACTTGCGAAAAACCTACTCTGTACAATCACTATCAGGAGATTAAGAAGAATAAATCCATTAGATTTAGTATATTTAGTAATTTACAATTTAGATTTCTAATTATTTTCTATATATATTATACAAACTTAAAATACTACCAATGGGTAGTATTTTAAATTATTATTAACTTCCCGTAAGGTAAGTTATAGTAATGGGCCGAAAATCGAAAATGATAATTTTTGCATATCTTCACGTTTCAGAGGTTTCTGAATATTTTGGCATACCTCAGAAAAAATAGATGTGTGTGTATGTGTGGAGTTATTTTTTTGTCGACGATTTTGGGCGTACGGATGAACCGATTTGATAAATGCAAAAAGCAATCAAAACTATTGTTAGGAAGATGTGCTGATTAGTTTTTGAAGAAGACAGGTCCAGCGGCGTTGGAGATATGGAACAAAAAGTGATAAAAATGACAGTTTTTAAGAGAACGGATTAACCGATTTGAATGTCCGAAATCTAAAAAACGTTCTATTTGCAATGATGGGAAAATGTGGTGATAATTTTTTGGCAAAAGCAGGTCCAGCAATTTCGAAGATACCAAGCTAAATTAGCCAAAAAGGCAGTTTTTGAGAGAACTAAGCATCCGATCTGAATGATATGAAAGCCTTTCTGCTTGTGTTGACAAAACGATTGCTTTTGGGAAAAGAAAATTTTATTTATCATTTTTTTTTAAATTTCAATTTTTTTTTTATTATCGAAAAATAATTCGGATTTCAATTCGAAATCTAGCTAAAGTTCTAAACATCACTTATTTACTTCAAATAAATGAATTTAACATAGCAATTCAGTTTATATAATACTTAGAAATATTAGACAATGTCCTTCATTTTAAATCCGAAGTTCTGTTCATTTACTTTTTATAAAATAAGAATAATGAAAGTTACAATGTTTATAATAATCTATTTGATTTGACGTTTAATATTCCTCGAATATTTTATTAAGTACGGAAGTTCCAGCAATTTGCGTTAAGGCGCGTTGCCGTATACCACTAGTTATTATATTGCATAAGAATAATGACTATACGAATAATGCAAAAATATAGTGTCAAAAATATGGTGGTTGAAAAAAACAAAACTTGATATTTCAATAAATTTTTGTTGTATTGGAGTTGCATTAAAGATAATTCAGCACTTGATGATAGTGTAGATTGTTATTTTTTGATTTATGTCAATATATACAAATGTATACATATGTATATATATATATATATATATATATATATATATATGTATATATAAAATAAACCAATAAATTATAACAAATAAAATGAAATTACAGGAACCTGAATGATATTATTTGCAATGCCAAACTTTTTATCAAAGCGCAAAATCATATTAATGCAGACAATCAATTGTTCATAATCAACATAGATTTGAATAGAAAATACGACCGGAACGGCTTTATACTACTTAAACACTAAATGTATAATTTTCAGTAGCAAAAAATAACAAAATGTCCAAAGGTTTTTATTGGAATTGCAAAATTCGTTAATAATGTTGATGTTCGTACTATTCCATTACCTGCTCGCTAATGTCAATTTGATTAATTGATTTCGACAATAATAAAAGGAAGAATACAGAAATATATAACAAATTAATTTGTTGTAAAGTTGATCATTCTGTGCTGTGAGTGAGTAGATTAACAATCAGCAAAATGACTGTTCGTGCTGTTATATATTTTTTGGTTTTGAAGGTACGTTATTTACCATACGTTATAATAAGATTCGAGTGAAATACAAGAGTGAAATTATTTATTTTTTTAATATAATGTTAATCTGGAATAAATTAACAACGGATATTTTGATAAAATTGAAAAATGTTTATATAAATATAATTATAATTAGTTAATTTTACTAACATAGTTTAATAATGATTAGTATTATAATTCTACTAATATAACAAAAACAATTATGTAAAATTGACTTTATTTCTATTTTATTTCTACTACTAATTGCAAAGTAAAAACTTTCAAATTACACTTTTTATAGTTTTTATTTTTACCATTCAAAATTTATAGCTTTACAAAATTAAACAGCCCTTAGTTCTTCTAATTTTTGACAGTTTTTTCGTTATATAGCATATATTTTAATATTCTTTATATTGCCGGTACTAGTTGGTGATGAGTGAGAACATGGAAGAATATTGCAGAACTGCACCAAAAGCTACGGTAAATATTGCTTTTATTTATTATATTATAGAATGTAATATGAATATTGCAGACTTTATTTTATTAATATTTAATTTTTATTTATATACAGAATGCGCTTCTTTGCTGTCCAATACCTAAGATTGTATTTGAAGATGATATTTGGAATCGTTGTTTAAAAGACGCAGAAATCGAGATTCCAGCTTCAGGCAACTACATAGAAATCAATCCTGCATTGCTGCTAGGAAAGGTCTGAATTCCTACATTTAGACGAAATAATTCAGAAATTCACCTATATATATATATATATATATATATATATATATATATATGCTGGGACTGGACACAAAGGTCAAATTTGACTTTGAGCAATTATATTGTGAAAATCAAGACAATTAAGTA